GAAATACATTACAGTACACATCCCTGCACTGTCCATTATAAAATCAAGACATTTCTTATTATGGAATTGGTCATCATGGATAATCCATTTTGCAATCTGTCCAGTAATGGTGAAATCATCAGTACATTTTCACCATTTAAAATATTTGTTTGGAATGAAACACATATTTGCAATGAAACACATTCATTATCTCTGCATTCACATATAATAAGACAAAATTGCAATGAGTTCTCTTGGAGACAGAAGTTGGCATTCCTGGTTTGCATATAATACTAATTAAACAAGGAAGGGATGACTGGTTGTTTATTTAGCAACAGGAGTGGTTAGCATGCACAAATATGCTGATTGTTTCATATAAGCAATAAGCACAGGACCCTGGCTTATTATGACAGACATGAGACTCTTGCCTGCTTTGACTACCAACAGCCTGCGGTCCAGAGAAAGCACGAGCTAATGACTACTGCCATTTCCTTTTCCTTTTTAGATCTTCTGGTCTAATACAAAACAGTGCTAGAATACATATTCTCCCCTAACTCTGTCACAACATTTACCTTCTGGCTAACACCTGACATTCTCATAAATCCCTTTGTTGCTTTGTCCTGCCTCTGTACTCCCTGCCTGCTCATAATGCAAAGTAAACATAATAAAGGAGAGGCAGGCTTTAGGATATTGGAGTAGAAGCTCATGCCTCTTCCTAATCTCTAGCTTTGGTGAAATTTAAAGACAAAGATGGTAGAGTCCCAAATTGCAAGTTGTGTTATCCTACAAAACAGGTTTCTTTATGTTCTGTGTGTTATCTACTTTTTATGTGCTGTCTGTCCAGCTATGACCCAGTACCCAAAGATTTGATCAACCTGTCAACTGGATGAAAAAAAAAGAAAATGGAAAGATTTGGTTTTAGCAGCTTAATACATTTATTGAACTACTTTGGGGACACTTATTTCCATTTTTCAAAACCCCATGGTGAAGGAGCCTTTCTGAAAATTAGCTCAATGAAGTGAAATGAAACTGCTGGTTCTTCTCCCTCCACCCACACTTAACCACAACTTGCTTCAATAAGTCCAGATACCGCCATTGAGCTTCCCTCTTTGACATATAATACCCATATTATCCATGCTGATATGTGCACCTGAAATTTGAATTAGAGGACTCATTATGATCTTTGTTCTAGCCAGCTGCTAGTGATACAATTTTGCATATGCCTGGGATCAGAGCCACAACTTTTTTTTGGTCACACTTTGTGGAAACAGCTACCATGTATGAGCAGAGGGGAATATTAAAGATGACCTACATAAGAAGTAATATTGCATAGTCAACCACTAGAAGAGTTTATAATGTAAGTGTGTCTACAGCAGGCTCTCCAGGTTGGTTAGAATCTACATGCGGCAAAAAATAATTATCAGTCCAGTCGAAAGAAAGAGGCACAGGTGGAATGTGATAAGGTGTTGGTTCCCACTACACAAGACTAAATGAGGCAGTAGATTAGCAGCATGCAAATAGGAATTTAATCTGTAAAATGGGTTTTCCAAGTTCAACTTCTACAAAGAGTTGATGTCATGGCCTTGGACAAATTATTCTTCCAAAGCTTCACTGCCTACAAAGGTTGACAGGAAGACAAACTGCAAATCTATGATGCAATAATATACAAATCAGAGGTGTGAAAAGTGTGTTTCTCCAGAACTAGCTGTACTGCAACTCCCATAATCCTTTAACATCTGCTACAGGAGCTATAGCTCATGAGAGCCGCAGTCCCTTATGTTCTTGAGAGCTATATGTTTGCTACCTCTGCTATAAATAACACATGTCTAAGATTCTCCTCTTGGATGCACACCTTAATATGGTCAGGGTTTTTTGTTGATCAGAGAAGCCAAGAGTAATACTGTAATAAGACAAGGCTATGTTATAAGTCTAGAAAGGTCACCCAAGGTGGAATGGGCAAAGCTGAGACACCAGTCAAAGATGCATCCACATTCTTCAGAAGTAACAGACATCATCAGCAGAAGAGAATTAATAGTTCTAGTGGTGGTAGGAGTAAAGAAATCCCTGAAGGCAGTGACTGGTCTAAGGACCGTAAATAAACTAAACTGAAACTGAAACCCCAACCCCTGAAGGGCAGCTATTGGGCAGCAGTGGCAGGTTTTTTTTAATTATTATTTCTTGCAATCTGAAATGGTGCTAGAACAGAATAAGAGATAGGAAAAAATTTAAAATTCCCTACAGCCCAGCACATGTACAAGGAGACAGACATACAAATTTCTCATGGTACACACTGAGGAGGTGGAAAAGAGAGGGAACCAAGGTTGAAACTGACTAGGTTTGCAAAGGAGAGAGACAGGGATCTGGGATTGAACCTGGGACCACACATTTTGAGGAAATTGGCACTTCTAGGCTTGTCAAAATAATACATGCGTGTCATGTAATCACCTTTAAAAAAAAATCAATTTAAAACATTCTAAAGCCAATTCAAATATAGTTTTTTCCCTAGTATAACCACACTTGAGACTCAGAAGCACAGCAAGAAAGGAACTAGAAAAGATAACCAAGTGTAAGAACATGTCACTGGAGACCATGGCCAGGATAATCCACACTCTTATATTATCAGTTCTCATGCAAGTTTATGAAAGCTGGACAGTGAAGAAAGATGACAAGAAAACAATAGTTTTAAATACTGGAGGAGGAAAGCTTTGTGGATGCCCTGGACTGATACCTAGGAAAGCTGAAACTATATTTTAAGATTGATCAATGAATTAGTAACTGACAGTACATTTGGAGGAAAACCAGGCCTTGGGAGAATTCGACCCTGAAACATTTACAGATAACCCTTAGCAGAGAAGAACGCAGGCCTCAGAGAAACTAGGCCCGGACAATACATAGACATAACAATAGATAAAGGGAAATTGATACTTTATGCCCCAGACTTTTAGGTGCATCATGAACATAGGTCAAGGAAAGATGGGGCATAATATATTTTCTTACGTTTAACCAATAGAATAGCTAGTTGCCATTAATTATCCAATGAGGGACTGGATCTAAATTTGGAGTACAATTAACCAATAGAATTGTAGTACTTTTAGAACTCTTTGTATCATATAAAACATGTGTGCACTTGTATTCTGGGGTTTTTCTCTGCTTTTAAGAGAAGTCCCAGCTGTCCTTTCTTTGCTGTTTGAATAAAATTGGACCTTCGGTTCAGCCGCCGTGTCTCTGCCTGATTTCCTTGCCTCCTCCCACCTAGATCTACTCAAGTCATTCACTAGCCAGGAAAGACGGCTGAGGGGCCTAACGATGAGAGAGGCCCAGAAAGAAAGAACTAGAAACTGGACCTTCTCGGCAGTGGCCCCTTGACTTTGGAAGAGTCTGCCATCAGAGATCCGCCTGACACCCTCGCTGGGTGTTTTTAAGAGTCAATTAAAGACTTTGCTCTTTAGGCAGGCCTTCCCTGCTGTCAATACTTGACTTTTATTTCTTACTTAGTTTTTTGTTTATATTTTCCCATCTTGATTAATATTTTATTGTTGATTAATTGTTGTTTTAACTGTTTTAATAATTTTAAATAAATAAATAAAGCCAGAACCCAAAATTGGTTGGTAACAGGACCACCCGAAAGATAAACAGATGGGTCCTAGATAAAATCAAGCCTGAACTTTCTCTGTAAGAAAAAATGATGAAACTAAGGCCATCTTACTTCAGGCACATCATGAGAAGGCAAGATTTACTGGAAAAGAAAATAATGCAAAAGTTAATAATAGACATTCTTCAGTCTTAAGAGACTATGGTATCGTGCTCTGCATGGAGGACTTGGAACAGCGTCTAGTGTGGCTGAGAAGGCCAATTCGAGAGTGACAATCCCCTCCACCCTGAGGACAAATACAATCTGTCCCCTGTCCAGCTCCCTGATTTTGTCCAGCTGGTTTGGGGACTGCCTCTTTGCCTTGGCCTGCTGGACAAGGGTCTCTTCAAAATGAGAGGCCTTGCTGCACTGCCTGCCTCCAGGCTGAACGCTCAGATGTCAGGGTTTCCCATCTGTTGAGATCCATTCCTAAGGCCTTCAGATCCCGCTTGCAGATATCCTTGTATCGCAGCTGTGGCCTCCCTCTGGGGCGATGTCCCTGCACTAATTCTCCATACAGGAGATCTTTTGGCTAGGAGCCCACGGAACAAGAGCACTCATAGTTGACAAGATATTTTGCCAACATCAAATGACTGAAGATGCAGAAAAGATGTTCCAAAAATAAGAGAAAGCGCTATCAGTTCCAAATGAAGCGCTATCATTTCCAAAAGTGCACAACCTGTCCCCAAGTGGAATATATAGGTTTTACTAATGTCATTTGAATATAGTTTGTAAATTGTTGGATTGTAAGCTCCTTTGATCTATGAAAAACGTAATATAACACAATTTACTGGCTGGTCACTCCTTCCTCTCGTCTTATTTTGAGACATAAGGATTCAGGTGTGCACAGAGATCATGATTTTGCAGCATAAACCTCTTTATGGATGTGTGTCTGATCTGCCTGCGGTTATTCAATAGGGAGGAAACGCCACTCTGCCCATGTTCAACAGCGTTCTCCTCCTCCTCATTATAATAAATCCCCATATTCCAGAGCATCCTAAATTGATTCTGGAGTTCAGTCAAAAGTGAGCCTATGGATTAAATGAAACGCCCCCATTCTTCCTTCTACCTCCTCATGTACGGCCACAACCTGTCTCAGGAAGCTCTTTCCTCCAGAAGGACAGCAGCTGATTGGCATCCCCCCCCCGCTCCCAATCTACGCTTGCTTTCTTCGAACTTCTTACACTCGCCTGGCAGCAGCTGGCGTTGAAACGTATGCACTTGATGGAGTAGGGAAGGGAAGGGGAACGGAAGGCGACAGAGTGCTCGCGTGCTCGAATCACGGCCTAACATTCTCAGCGCGCGACAACGGCCGCCGGCGCGTGCGCGCTGAGTTCTGCCAGCTAAGCCTTGAGCGGGATGGGAGGGAGGAGGGCGAGAACTCCGCAACTTGCTGGAGAAATCCGGGAGAAGCGCGCGTGAGCGCGTTCTCTGTCGGCGCGAGTGCGCGCGCGTTCTAGCTAGTTCCTTGTTCTGTATTAAGCTCTCTCGTTCTCGCTCTCCCCCCTTTGCTTTGGGGAGCCGCCGCCTTCTTCTGATTGGCCGGCTGGAGTCCCGGCCAGGTGTCAGCAGAAGCAGAGGCAAGGAAAGGGCACCGAGTGTGGAAAGGGTGGCGGGGCAGCGTCGGGCTGAGGCACTGCGGCCGTTCTCGCCACCGCCGTTCGCCCTTTGCTCAGCATCCCATAGGTGCTCTACTGACGAGGAGAGCTGAACGCCGTCACCTTCCTCTGACAGCCGCTGCCAACGGAGGGAGCGACGCGCCGGCTTGTCCGGCGGCTGGTCCCCTCTTGGGACCCTCGCCTTGCTCTGGAGAGAGTCAAGCCTCTCTCTCTCTGTACCTCAGGACCCGCCACCTCCTCTGGAGCTGCTGGAGAGATCAGGGTACGCCGCTGCCGAGGCGAGAGGTGGGTTTTTCGTCGCTTCTCTTTGCTTGGTTTGAGTTTGTGGGGCGCCTGCAAATAAACAACCCGCTCGAGCGGTTTCGCCTCTACTTCAGCTTTTGGGGAGGGGGTGGGGAGAGCGCAAAGAGCTTTGAAGGACTTGTTGACCCAGCAGCGGTTGCCTTCGGCCTCCAGAGTATTGGCCAAAAAGCCCTGCGGGGTGGAGCGAAGGCTGGGAGCAGGGGTGGGATAAAGAAGGATGGATGGGTGAAGTTGCACATGTACACCAGCTTCCATTTTGGTGCATCCCCCCCCTCTCTTGCTCACCCTGTGACAACTGTCCACCTCTTTGCTTGCTGTCAGTCTCCTTTTTATTGCAGCTGCTTGCTGCTGCAGCTGCAGCTGCAGGGAAAATGTCCCTGTGTCTCTGGCTGGTGGTTTGATGCAATTGCTTCTCTTGGACTCTGCTGAAATGTGCCTTTTAGAGCTAGCAGCAGCTGCAGCCCCTCCTGTTTGACGTTTTAGAGATGGGTCATGCAGAGCAAAGCAGAGCTCACTGGCTTTGACCTGACACATCAGCAACGTGCCTAGAGGAAAATTAGGGTGAGAGGGGATATCTGATAGAACCCATAGATCATCCTTTTCTATACTTCTTCCTTGCCAGTGGGACTTTGGTTTCAGAGTGGCGGTTTATGCTCTTTTCCTGTCCCCAGAGCTGTCTTTGCAGGTAAATCTTGTGCTAAGTGCTGAATGACGTCTCCTCTCGATTGAGCTGAAATGAGGTGGTAGTCCTATGGAAGATTTTAAGGGAGAAAGAAGGAGGAGGTTATGAATTTTTTAAAGGAAGGGAATGAAGTTGCTTTAAGGTTGTAGAACACAATGTTGTGCCTGTTTAGTTCCACAGCATTTAAATCAACAGGGGCTACTCTCTTGAAAAAGGGGTTGCAGAATTACAGCATTCATCCTGTTACTAAAAGTAAAGGTGTTGGATCAACTGCTTTAGACAATTTAATATGTTGCTAGCTATAGTTGGAGTTCTAAGTGTCTGGATCTCTCTCTCTCTCTCTCTCTCTCTCTCTCTCTCTCGTGTGTGTGTGTGTGTGTGTGTGTGTGTGTGTGTGTGTGTGAGAGAGAGAGAGAGAGAGAGAGAGAGAGAGAGAATATGGCTTGCTGTGTGCCAAAGATAAAATACTCTTGAGAATGCAATAAACTTGGTTTTATGTTGACATTTCATGTCATTTTACAAAAAGGTAGTTTGTAGCTGACAGTAGAATTACAATTTGAGTACATTTGCATTTTTCTTTCATTAAAAAACAAAAACCAGTATTAGCTGCTGAAAGTCACTGTCTCTTTATACTAATTTGATTTATGTACATTATAGTGCCAATCAGGTTTGAATTAATGGTTTGGTGCTGGAATGGCTTGGTACATTTATTTAAACATTGTTTTATGGATATGATTAATTGCCTATAATATTTCTTGTTAGAAATTATACTGGCTTGCCTTGTGCTGCCTTCCTACTGATACTGGAAAATCTAGTGCACATTATTTTGTATATGATATCATGACACTGTGCTCTTTTTGATAAGAGTATGTAACAGCATCTTCCCAAGCTCTGGAGGAGCATGTGTTTCTGTAACATGACTTTAGGGACAATACATGGTAATTATAGAAGAAAATACCATCTGGTAGAAGTTAACTCATAGGCAGATTAATTAAAGAGAAGAGTGTCATTACACTGAAGTGTATTTTCAAATTAATGCAACCAAACTGGAACACAAAACGAATCAAAATGCTTTAAAATGCAGCTGTGCTCTTGAGTAGATCTTTGGGAATGTAAATTACACCTAGAGGGAGTATATTGATAAATATGCAGCATATTGAATCAAATGCTTAGTTATATTTTCTTTCTAAATTTATTGTTGATTTTATAATGGAGACACCAAGAATCCTTGGTTTAAAAAGAGGCATGAAAGGATATGATCCTAATGGAAAATATAAATTGGAAGGCCTCATAAATTTCTGTTTTAAATAAGATTTAAATCCATGTTTAACTTCCACTGAAATAGAAGGGACATTAAAATTTCTGATTAGGTTGGATTGTGGCTGGTGCTTCCTAGCCTTCTCATCCCTGTCATTCTTCTGTATTTATGGGGGAATTTTTGCATTCACCAAAGTATCCCAGATTCTAGAAATCATTCGCAAATCAGATTTGTGTATTAATTCTTATAAATGTTGCAGTACAGTTATTTGAGTTCAATGGACTGAGAGATGACACAATTTGGTAGAAGCTACACTATTCTGGCAGAATGCAAAATACACTCTCAGCATACCTGTGGAATGCCTCAGATATACCAGTGTAAAGGTTTCTCCAAACAAGGGATTTGTTGTCTAAAATGGACCTGATTGGTCACAGCAATTATCAGTATTTTCTTGTCATCCAGATAATGCAACACTTACCTTGGGTAGAGCAGAGAATTCTGTGACTTTCCACTCTTTTTTAAATCGGGTAATGGCTAGGGTTTGTTTGTTTTTTAAATTATGTACTGGGATGGTGAAGGTTCAATTAGCACCAAACCAACAATTCAACATAAATGAGAACACATTCTCCCCCACCCTCCACAAATCCATCAGAAAAAGTGTCACCAAACCTTTTTGTATTTAAAAAAGAGAAAGAAATACAAATAACAATGGTCAGGGTCTCTGGGAGTATAGATCTGCTTCTTCTTCGGACCTACCTGGCCTCCTTGGCTTTCCTCCCAACTTATCTATTTCAATCTTTTTGCCCACTGCTGTCTCTTTTCCATGCTGCTGTGTCTTTGATCTGCCTTGCCTCCTCTGTGTTGCCTGCCCCAATGTTTCCCGCGCTTTCCTTTTTACTTCCTCCACACACATGGCTTTTTCCTTTACTGTGCCTTCTATTTTCACCTCTTCTCTATCAGCTACAGGGAATAAAGAGGGAGAGGAAAACGTTTTCTGTCGTGAGGAGTCCTAAGATTTAGGCACTGGAGATTGAGAGTAAGAAAGGGATGGAAAGGGGGAGGAAAATATTTATGCAATGTCCTCTGTTCTTGCTGATGGTGCTACTTTGTTTATGCTAACACTGAGACTTTCCCCCCATTGGTTGAAAGGGTATAATGTTTAAAAAAACCCAACTTCTCATTGACAATGACAGCACCTTCACTGTTATGTCACAGGATGGGAAAGAGCACAACTCAGCACCCAGCAGCAGAATACCACAAGTATATCGACTCTATATGGGTAGATCATAACCAACATCTTTCTCTGTCAGCCCCATGTGATATGCAGTTAAATCTCACAAGAGAAATATTCTGATAATGGGAAGCAGTGGTACTGTGCTATCAGAAGGAGCACTTCACACAAAATACCCGTCTTCAGAACAGTCTTAGGAACTTGAATACCTTGCTAAGGTTTCTCTCCTTAGAAACCTATAGTATACTTTGCTCTAGGACTCCATTTGTGAAGATGCCCATGCTAGTATACACATGCTTGGTGGCTGGGATGAGCCCTTTTGCTTTTTTCTTGCTTGGAAAGTGGAAAGCTTAGGTTGAGCATCAACTGAGACTCATATGGTTCCATTTCATTTTAGTTTCCTATGGGCTGTATAGCTTGGAAATATTACTTTATTTGGGACTGCAACTTCAGGACCACCCCCACCCCCAACAGCAGGATCATTGGCTATTTATTGATTATGCTGGTTGGGGGTTGTATTCTAGAAAAGTAACTTTTCAGACCTCTAACTATGCTGCAGCTGTTGCCTTTTTCTCTGTACACACACACATGCGGAGGGGGGGGGTGCAGGGAGAGAGACAGAGAGAAAGTCTGTGAGTTTCCCCTTTCTTTACACAGGTCCGTCTTCAGGTACAGAATCCATTCTTCATCTGTTCTGTACAGACTGGGGACAAGCCAGCCTACTGAATAAATAACAGTGTCCAAGATGCTGCTGGTTGTTCTTCTGTCGGATTGCTATGCTGCTTGCAGCAGATGGGCAGGATGGGTACATAAGCAGCTGTTAATGGGTTCGTGACATGGAGTTGGTGTCATTGCATCTATTACTCTAGTAATGAAAAATTGTCTTGTAGGAGTGACTAATAGATAGTTAGGCATCCTTCAGTCTCGAAAGACTATGGTAACGTGCTCTGTATGGAGGACTTGGAACAGCGCCTAGTGCGGCTGAGAAGGCCAATTCGAGAGTGACAATCTCTTCCACACTGAAGACAAATCCAATCTGTCCCCTGTCCGGCTCCCTGGTTTTGCTGCTTTTGTGACTTCCTCTTTGCCTCGGCCTGCTGGGCAAGGGTCTCTTCAAATTGGGAGAGGCCGTGATGCACCGCCTGCCTCCAGGCTGAACGCTCAGATGTCAGGTTTTCCCATCTGTTGAGGTCTATTCCTAAGGCCTTCAGATCTCGCTTGCAGATGTCCTTGTATCGCAGTTGTGGTCTCCCTCTGGGGCGCTTTCCTGCAGTAATTCTCCACAGAGGAGATCCTTTGGAATCCGACCATCAGCCATTCTCACAACGTGCCCGAGCCAACGTAGACGTCGCTGTTTCAGTAATGTATTCATGCTGAAAATTCCAGCTCATTCTAGGACTACTCTGTTTGGAACTTTGTCCTGCCAGGTGATACCAAAAATCCGTCGGAGGCAACGCATATGGAAGGTGTTCAGCTTCCTCTCCTGCCGTGCACAATGCTTTGGTGGGACAGTTTTTCTAGGCGGACCTTTATTTTTACTGACCACATGGTCTGATGCAGGGCAGGGTTTCATCCTTTTTTCTAAGAGCAGGAGCCCAAGGCCCCTCCCTGAAGAGGAAGCCAGTGCAGGTTTGTCTGGGCAAATGCTTTGGTGGGACAGTTTTTCTAGGCGGACCTTTATTTTCATTTACCACATGGTCTGAGTTTTTGCTTTAAAGGAGGATGAGCAAGAGAGTCTGTTAAATGGCGCATGAAACTCTCTAATCCTATTTCTTACCCTTATTTGGTAAATAAGAAAGCCAATCAACATT